ATAATCATCATGTATCATCATCATGTATTTTTATTCAGCATTACCTCGTATTATCATTTTTATTATCAATATTTTTCCTTTTTCTTAGATTTGTGCCCACGTCGTTATCATACGTGGACAAGGTACCCAGAGAAGCCGCACCAAAGGGAACCCATCACTTGTTTTACGGATCCAAGGCAAGTCATTAAACTTTGCTACCTTATTACTTCAGACAAAATGATAATAACATTTACCAATAATAACAAATTGGTCAAATTAAGCTGCACATTTCCAGATGGTGCCATTTGCTTGTTAGTCTTTCATTGAACTACAAGCTTTGTGGAATATTTAACCAAGGATTTCTTTGCAAAATGGTTGCTAAATTATTCATCTCAATGTGTGTGTCTAATGGTAAATGTTTTTGATATATTACAGAACCAGAACTCCGCATTCAATGCCATCAATTCATTGTACAGCAACTTCTTTGGTGATATCCACTTCAGCTGTTTAGCACGATTACTTGGTTACCAGGGAATCGCGGTTGTCATTGAGGAGCTTCTGAAGATCGTCAATAGCCTGGTACGAGAAGCACGGACATCACTATTTATATCATTATTCAGTGATATTGCTAGGATGCTGTCATACTGTGACAGTATCATCATTAGTATCTTTGTCATCACAATCATCATGTCATCATCATCATGTGTTTTCTCATCTTCTTCATCATCACTTTTATTCTATGATCATGGCTATCCGCATGTGTCATCATAGTCATCACAATCATAAAGCTATCATCATCATTACGAACTGTCATCATTTATTATCACCATAGTCATCATTATCATTATCATCATCATCATCATAAAGTATTGCTATTTCCTGCATCATCATAGAAATAATTTATCATTTTTCACTAGCTGCAAGGAACTCGGAAAAAAATCAGAGTCCCTGATAGGAATCAAACCTTGATACGGTCAGATGCTCTACCGCTAAGCTACAGGAAAGATTCATAATGAGCAGGCATTTACCTGTAACAATCATCTTTCATCACCATCATCATTCTCAGTCTGTATCACTGATTATACTTGTGTTTGATCGTCTGTTTGTTGTCGTTGTTCAGTTCCAGGGTCAGATACAGCAATACGTTGCACAACTAATCGAAGGCATGCCCAAGAAGTGTAGTTTACCCCGTTTTGAATACGGCTCAACAGGTAGTCATTCGTAATCCTGGTAGTACTCTTTAAAACAGATACTATGTAGTTGTTTATAGGACAATATTACAATTCCACTGAGAAAACTGCAGCAACGGCGATTGGTTCGCTGTGGTCTGAGACAGAACTATGAATGGGTTAGAAGAGGAAGGCATTTTGGAGGAACGTCAGTTGCGCCTTGATGCGCAATGCACGAGACAATTGGAAGTCATCTCAGTGCCACGGCATGTCGTACCTCGTACATGGTGCAAGTCAGTAGCATGAGCTATTTCACAGTCACATGCCAACCACGCTAGAAATGTTCTGCAAGGTTTAAGAAGATCAGGGTAATTTATATTTTGTATGTCATGTTATAGGTGTACTTGAGTACTATCACGCCAACCTCGAGCCAATCATGCAGTACCCAGAGCTGCGAGTCAACGTGTTCCAGGGCTTCAGAGAGATAGGCAATGCTGTCCTATTTGCATTGCTAATTGAATCAATGCTGGTAAGGAAAGGACTTCATATCCTCGGCCCGATTAGTGCTAATCCTAGGTTTAATCTAAATGAAACCTATCAGAGTTAATCGATTAGCACTAATCGGATCTTGAACAAGGGATATTTGGGGATATTTGGTTTGTCACGTGTCTTTTGTTATGTTTATCAAAATATTATAAATATTATTATTACTAATATCAATAAGAGCAAGAAGGGGTTTTTAGAAGTCGTTGTTGAAGGGGGTCCGATGGTGGTCGCAAGAAACATCGTACTCATATGTGACTATTATGAGGAGAGGGGGTAAGGACATGTTACTTTCCATCAGTGGATAGATGGTAAAGGACGTCGCAGATGAGTGAGCAGTTGTATTGATACTCATATGTGACTATTAATTTGAGGGGAGGGGGTAAGGACATGTTACTTTCCAACAGTCGGTAAGCAGTGGTATTGATCATTCTGAGTTTTTTTTGGAGAAGAGGAGAGATGATGGATGCCTTTAACTTTTCTGCGGTGGGGGAGTGGGTAAGGAGACTCATAGATGACTCTGTTTTGTGGGGGGTGGGGTGGGGGTCCAGAATACCGTCACTGTGCACCCACAATGACGTAGACTATTTATGTTTCGTAGTCTCAAGAAGAGGTGCTTGATCTTTTACACGCCGCTCCGTTCCAAGGAATCATTCCAAGACCTTACCTTAAAGGTTGGTAGAACATCGAAAACGATTTTCAGTATCCAATCTTAGGTCAATCATTTGATCTTATTTTCGTCGTCTTTGTTGATTCAGAGGGCGAGAAACTTGAAGGCAAGATGAAGAAACTAGAGACCCAGTACAGTTCACTCCAGGTCGTGTCCATTGTCAATAGACTGGGAACGAAAGAGGTATAATAGTTCACGTGACTACCCCTGTTACAAGAGAGCACACGATTGCGTTACTTACTTGAGTTACATGAAAATGAGATTGCGCAACCTTGCTCTTATTATCCAAGTGAGAAGAATTGTGTTTATTGTACTACTGAGGGATAATCGTATATTTTGAAAACTACACAGCTGAATGAATCTCTTGAATCTCATTACCAGTCTTCAGTGAAGGGCAACCACTGCCTTCCATGCTCTATCTTTCATGTCCATTTCCATTAAAAACATGCTGGACCCGGTTGTACGAAGGGTGGATAGCGCTATCCGACGGATCAGCTCGGCCCGGCGGATAGCGCTATCCGACGGATAAATCTCATCCAATAGATAATTTTATTGCATAACAACATCAACTTATCCACTGGATAAGGATTTATCCGTCAGATAGCGCTGTCCGCCAGCCCTTCGTACAACCAGACCTGATAACAATTCCACTCAGGACCGGAAGTGACGTCAATTGCTTTTAATTCTTTGATCAGCAAGTAATCAACGCCCAAGAGGGAGATCTACTGACCAAGGAGCGTCTTTGCTGTGGCTTATCGATCTTCGAAGTAGTGTTACGCCGCATCAAGTCGTTCCTGACGGCCGACGTGTGGAAAGAACCCAACGCTACTAATGGCGTCATGAGTATAGACGAATGTCGCGAGTTCCATCGTCTGTGGAGTGCAATACAGTTCAATTACTGTCAGCCACTGCGGCCTCATGAACTCACTGTAGAGTAAGTCATTGTGTAGAACCACAGGCAGCCCAGGTTAAGAACTTATTACTGTTTACAACTGTTGCACCCCCCAACCCCTCCCTCCAAAGAAAGAACGTTTACGCTTCATAGTTTTCTAGTGTAGTTCCCCTACTTGTATTTCGTTTCAAAGCTACTCTTCTCCATTACTTTTATCTTTTAACGTAGCTCCCTGCGGAAAAACCAGCGCAGTGAGTTAGATT